GCTACACAACAGCTGTGGTAAATCAAACAAGATTTCTCGAGAGTGTTACAGTAGTAAAGAAACCGAGAAGTTGGCGACCAAAATAAATTTGATGTTAAAGGGGAAAGAATTTGTCGGTTTTACTTCACTGCGTAGAGCACCAAGGGGCAGTAAAAGGCATGAAACTCAACAATTCGCAAAGTTTTGCTGCTCAATATCCGTCCACAGAAAATGTAATGAGTGTTTTGCACAAATACAAAAGAAAAGGTTACCTAAGTAAACGGAAACCATTTTTACAAATATTTATTTCCATACAAAAAGAAATTAAAGTTTTGGCATAGCCAAAATCAAGTCCAATCTTTAACATCGCTAAAAAAATTTGACTTCAAATGAAAAATGTTACAAACCATGATCCAAATGGTCGTCCAAAAGCCAGAGAATCATTTATTCTAAGACTTTTCTAGGCCTAATACGAAATTCTACAAGAATACGTTGCCCAAATTCATGGATCCATTTCAAGGAGGCTTTTTGCGGTTTCAAAAGTTTGCGGCAGCTAGTCAAAATATTGATATTTGAAACTGTTAAAAGATGTTCGCTACTGTTATTTTTTAAATAAATGCTCTATATAGATTGAAGTTTTGATTGGTAGTTGTTTTGCTTTCGACCAATTGCCATTGGCCCTCTAAAAACAGAATTAATTTGCATAACAATAGCTTTCGATCATTCATGCGCCATTTCTCCTCCTTCGAGGTGGTGCAATACTTTTGATACCTTAGTGTATATCAATTCCTAGTGTATTAGCCGTAAAAAGAAAAGATTTGCTGATATACATGCTCAAAGGAACGGGTGTTGTTGAAAAAAATGTCAAACAAAAAGTTATAAGACCACCTTCAGTTGGTATTGAAGTAGAATGGTTGTTTGAATAAAGCTTTTGCAAATGAAAAGTTAAACATTTGATCAACACTGCTGGAAACTACTGTCTCAAAACCGCCATATTCCTCAAGGCTTATTTATCAGCATGTCAAAAATGAAGTAGATATAAGATATACTTTCAAGAGATTACAGCATTGATTGTGCTGTTTCTTTATCTAGGCATAACGCATTTAAGCTTATTGTATGAATTTCCCTTGGTGATGGTGCTGTTTTTATTACTGATTGCTCTCTTGCTTCTATAACAGAGGGAGTATGAAAAGAAAAAAAAGAGAGACAACACTAATATATAATATAAACTATTTTTTGAGACGAGCCATGAAGCAATTAAAAAGGAATTATGTACTTGCAAACTTTAATGGCCTGAAAATCAAAAGGAACAATCATATCATCATTTTTTTCCTTTTAATGTTTGCCACTGTTAATCAGTAAATGAACACTAGCACCATTGCCAAGGCCTATGTTGCACAGCCAGAGATGTCAAAGACCAAAAACTATACTTTGGAAACTGCAAGCAAAATTAAATAAGGTGTAAGTCGCTTGGTAGAAAATCAAGGCAGCTGATTAGGGAAATGTGTATAATAGTCTTGTTGCAACTACTTTGTTAAAGTTCAAATTGTTGCTTTCATAACAAAAGATTAGACTTTGGATGTTTAAGAAATTTTAGTAGGGAAGCTTACTGGTGTCTACTATAAAGAGGAAACAGTTTTTATGTCCAATAGAAGGTCGAATAGAATTGATATAACTTAAATAGTGAGTCTCTGCGAGAGGTGGAGCTTTTAAAAAAAATGACACAAAAGATGTATCTGCTATCTAGCATATATAGCAAGTATTGTGTAGGAGCAGAAAGCCAGAACCATCGTTAGAAAAAACACAAGCATTACCATTCCCTGGTAAGCTAGCTAAGTACAATCACTGCCAAAATTTCTTGGAAATGTGTGCTGTGATTTTCTGTTTTTCAGTTGTTTTCCAAAATACTATTACTTACATCACCCTCCCTCTCCCCCAAAAAATTGTTGAAAGTAGAGCAAAATTTCAAACACGCCAGAAGAAAAAGCATACCCAATAGCCCCTTTCATTTTTCTATAGTAAATCAAAAATTTTCCTGGCGGGAGAAGGGATTGCTGAATTTGCCTTTGAAAACCTAAGTTGGTTTTCCAAGACGTTTGGCAGTGATTGTAAGTAGAGTGTTGATGATTCTGGACGCGCCATCTGAAGACGCTCTTTGTAGGCACGTGAATTTGGCAGACGCGTCTTTCGAGAAATTTTGATTATGATTTTGAGAACGTAGATCAGGACGTGCGGCGAATTTTATCTTCAGATTAGCCATGGATGATTTCTTGCTGGAGCTCCATTTTTTAGGTGATATCGACGATGAAGAATTCATACACTTGTAAATTTCTTCGACGATTTAGATCATACAAGTGTATGAATTCTTCATATACAGATTAACATGTAAATTTCTTCGACGATTTAGATCATACATGTTAATCTGCCATATTGGCAGTATCCAAAATTTGACCTCGAGCAAATGCGCAAAGATGAATGTTTGGTGGAATTTAGATTCGCCAAAAATGACATATACTGCCTAGTCAACACACTGCAAATCCCTGAGGTTATACGGTGTTACAATGGCTGGAAGGTGGATGCAGTTGAGGCTCTATGCATCTGTCTGAAAAGACTAGCATCTCCGTGCAGATATTGCGATATGATCCCTAGCTTTGGCAGGCCCGTCCCGCAGCTGTGCACAATGTTTAACACTGTTGTGAACACTATTTACAACAACTTCGCACATCTTCTCAGGGACATCGATCAACCTTACCTATCCCAAGCAAATCTTAAATTGTATGCAGATGCCATCCATGCTAAGGGGGCAGCCCTGGAAAATTCCTCGTGTTTTATAGACGGTACTGTCAGGCCAATATGTAGACCAACTAGGAATCAAAGGGTCGTTTACAATAGGCACAAAAGAGTCCACGCATTAAAGTTTCAATCAGTTGTGGCTCCGAATGGCCTTATTGCGAATCTGTTTCATGTATGTGGATGACACATATACCATTTTCAAAACAGAGGCTGAGTGTGATATTTTTCTAAAACACCTAAATAGCCTACACCCAGCCCTCCAGTTTACGTTTGAAAAGGAAGAAAATGATTCCTTGCCATTTTTAGATGTTTTGGTCGAAAAGTCTAACACTGGATTTCTTACCAGTGTATATCGCAAGCCTACTTTTACCGGTCAGTACATACGCTGGAATTCATTTTGCCCAAAACAACGCAAAGTCAACTTTGTCAAAACATTAGTACATAGGGCACTTATGATCTGCTCGAAATCTAAACTGCACGCTAAACTGGAAAAATTCAAAACGATCTTCTTGGACAACGGCAATCCTGAAGACGTCATTTTATCTTATACTAAGGAGAAGATCGCAAGTTTTTCGGCTGTTCAAAAGTTTGGTCTGCAAAAGTGCCCAGTTTATTTGAAACTACCATGGATTGGTAACACTTCCTTGCAATTCGAGAGTCAGATTAGGCAAGCCATAACCAACTGTTTCTTTGCTGTCAATCCTCGGATTGTTTACAGCACTAGGAGAGCCCTTCCATCCATTCAAAAAGATTGCGTCCCTACCAAACAAAAAAGTTCCATCATTTATGAATTTACGTGCCAGTGTGATTCTGGCTACGTAGGGCGCACAACCCAAAGATTGGGGGATAGGATAAAACAGCATGTTCCTTCCAACATACGAAACAAAACTGCCCCTCAAAGAGAACAGCCTCCTCGATCTTGTAGGTCTAGAAACACTGTTAAAACAAGTGATTCTGCCATTGGTCAACATCTTTTAGACAACCCAGATTGTGCAAAACTCTATAATGACGACATGTTTCGGATAATTGGCAGGGCCCGGTCGTCCTTCCATCTAGCAGTTTTGGAGTCAATCTACATAAAAACGAAAAAGCCGCCATTGTGTAGACAAAAGGAGTTCGTTTTCTCTCTTGGACTCCATTGGTAATTTTTCTTTAGGCTCGCGGCACTGGTTGGTCAACTATACCGGTCTTGTGCTTGCGTTTTTCTGATTGGCCTATTTCGATCCACAACTGGGTATATATTTTTCCATCGTGTTTTTTCGGAACCTATTCTGACGTTTTATGCTCTGAGGAGTGTCAGACGAAAAAGCTTTAAGTATGTTGTAAAATGTTTGCTTTTTTCAAAGCCATTTTCAAAAAGTTTATTAATTGAAAAAATGCTTCTTTAAGGAAACATGAAATTTGAGAGTTTTTTCCTTTTACTTGATTCTTGTTACAAATGGCAAAAAGCTGTGTCAAAGAGAAAGTTTTGAAAAGAATTGAAAATCTAAACTACACTAAACATTATTGACAAAATTTTACCAAGATTGAGAGTTTGCAACAACAGTGTTCAGCAGTTTACCAGATTCTTTGTGAAAACTGGAATTTTTTACAGCCACCAGGAAAGACCCACTACAAAAGGGAGTTTGAAAATCCCATTATAAAAGGTTGCAAGTGTGCAAATAATTTTGTTAACTCTTCAGAAGTTGATTTTCTTTAAGTAATGACAAGTTAAAATTGATTTTTTCCTTTTTCAAATAATCCATTGCTTTCCATTCCAGTTTACTTTCCATTCTTTTTTTCTTAACACCACCTTCAGATACATCCCTTTCTCTGCTTTCTCTGACAGTCTCCATTGCTCTCTTCCTGATATTCTCTGCAGCTTCTCTCTCTCTCTCTCAACTTCCTTACTTCTTTTCCTATCAGTCTGGACAATTTCCTCTTCAGCTCCCTCCATCCTCCCAATTATTGTCTCTACAGCCTCATCTAATTCAGACATTTCTGTAGCAATGCCACTAGCCCTTTGCTCCTTTGCCATCTTCCTCTCAAAGTCTCTAATTAGTTTGAGAAAGTGGTCTCGAACAGCCCTCTTATCCATCATGAAGGATGGATGGGCAAGACCATTTAAATTTTTAGCCACTGTGTCCCAACAATGACCACGCTCACGAGAACCCAACTTAAATTTGTATGGTTCCACCACCAACACTTCTCTACACAACATTATGTTGTGCTCCTCAGTCCAAATCATTTTTTGCCTGTACAGTGAATAATTTTTCAAGTCAAAGCAATGCAGTGCTTGTGTAAACACACTGATGAGGCATGAAGAAAGCCACTATGAAATTTTCAACTTTTCTGTGGATGGTTTAACGAAAAAAATTTACTTAAGAGACACATCTTAAATGCAGTATATATTGCTGCAGGGCTATATCAAAATATTCAAAAGATCTCCATCCATGCATTCAATTATGTTACATAAGACAAATAGATGCTTAATGTGCACAGGATTTTCAGATGTTAATTTGATAGCTCAATGTTGCTGCATGGTTGTAGCCTGCACTTTTCATTGCGTATAATAAGAAATGCTAAATGAAAACACCTTGGCAAGCTCAAATTGTATAGATGATGAGATATATGTTATATAGATGAGATATATGTTAAATAGTTTAATGAGAATTCACACGAGGATCAAGAATTATATTTTCCATCATAAATTTTATTTGAGATCTCAAAGGTGGGTTTTCCATATGCTACAAAAATGGCTGTGTTTCTACATGGGCTTCAATGATATTAGCATAAAATACGTATTCTTAAACTAAAACAAAATGTTACATTTTGTGTGCAAATCTACTTATGATATTAAATGTTTTAGGGCTCCGAACGTCTGATGTTGTTTCACAGCATTTACTTGCTCGTAGGCCATTTTGTACGGTGGATGATTCTTCTGTAAATAAAACAAAATGAACGATAATTAAAGCGAAATCCTATCAGAACGAAAGATCAAAAATCAATTTAGAAGCCTTGAGCTTATTTTAGTCTTTGGAATAGAATTTAATGGGTTCTTACCGCAAAGTTCTCTTGGATAAAACTGGACGTCGATTTTGCTGTTTTCACATTCAGTTAACGATGAAGACGCGCTAGTTTCTAGACCCCTTAGGCGCATCTTCATGTGGGGCGTCCAGAATCATAAACACTCTAGTATTGACTTTAGGACCAAATTCATAGCCTTGGTTTCCAATCAAAAAGACTTTTTTGCACAATTTTCAATTGCAATTTCCAGAACTTACAAATTTATCTTTTTCGGTTAGAAAAGAGAGTAAGTTGATGACTTGAAATTAAATGCTTACCTGTACCTGAGACTGTATTTTTTTCAGCTGAACAATCTCTTTTACGTCCATTAAGTTTCCAAAATCAATCTTTAAATATTTTACAAAATACAAAATGGATTGTACGTAGCCTGCCATTGTGCTGTAGATTAAAGGTTTGGCTAAAAGCGTTTGCACAAAAGCTTCTACTTTTCTCATGTTTATGCAATCTTCAATCTTTGGACTCCCTTTTTCTGTTCCTGAAACAAAAGCAAAGTACTCCTGCTTTTCCAATAATTTTTTTCACTGTTGACTCTGAAATTTCTCCAGTGGGCTGTTCTGGATTTATTAGTTTGGTGAAAAATTCAGCAATTTTCAGAAACTCTTCATTAAGAGTTTCATGTGTACAATCATTGTGTGAATTTCGGTAATTGATGCTAGTAAAAACTCTGTTGTCTTCTATTCTAACATCTTCAAAAGATTCTACTTTAGTCATGGAGTTTGTGGCCTCTCCGCATATTTCATTTGTTGATATGTTATTGTTTGCTTCCATCGTTGTGGTGCTCTTGAGCTGTTTGGAAATTTGCTGTTTACGTTTAAGTTTTTGAATATAGCACATAAAAAATAACCCATTTTTACGCATAAAAAGAAAGCCCTGTTTCTTCTCTTTGAGGAGTATCCTCCTTTCTTTATCTAGAAATGTACGCAAATAGCGCTCTAAATAATCAACTCTTGAACCCAAGATCCCATTGCACTAATTAGTCGAAGAAGTTTTGAAAATTGTTTATTTTCAATTGGCCTGTGCTGTCTTCTTTGAATATTAGATGGTTGCTCTTCTTGTCTCGCTCTTCATCATGCCCTTGTACTTTTTTAAGTGGTATCATGTCTTATATCAGTGACAAACATTAAAAGAATTAAAAAATCATGATATAATTTTGCCTTATTTATTATGGTGCTACAAAATGTTTCCAATTCATATTTCATTGTCTTTAATAGTTCCATGGCTTGTCCCCAATGATAGTTTTTTTTTCTGTTCATGTTTGTGTTTTTACTTCTTCTCTCCTTTTCATACTCTCTCTGTTAGAAGTAAAGTGAATGCAATCAGCAACAAAAACAACACCATTAAGAAGGAAAATGCATACAAAGTGCGTAATGCATAGAAGTAACCGACACCACAACCCATGCTTTAATCTTTTCAAAGCATATCTCATATCAAATTTGCTATTGGATGCCATGTAGATTCAATAAGTATCATTATGATATCTATTTGTTGGAATTATCACGTTCTTGTGCATCAAATGGTGTATAGTTTGATCTGATTCCGTTAATAGTTTGGTTTTTAGGGAGGGAAAATCAAATATCGTGTCAAAAACGTTTACCATAACAATAACATTACACCGTATGGCAAAATTGGCAACGCATTGGAAAAAGGTCCTTTCTTGCCTGAATTTATTACCTGCAGATTATTATGTTTTCTTTTCCACTTGTACACATGGAGTTTGAGAATTTATTTGTTTGACTATAACATCTGTCCAGCCACCGCCAAGACATCTGCCACTGGCAGTCTCTGCTATTTCAAAACCATTCCATAGGTTTGGCAGCTTATCAATAAACACCTATGAGGATTTTTCTTTCTCTGTAAAATTACTATAGTCCACCTTCGGTTTGCACAGCAAATTTTCATCTTCCTTCGCTAATAGGGTAGGATGGATATTGTTTTTATCACATTCATTTAATGATTGCGAATCATTATCAAAATTTTCAATATCAAGGTTTGCGATGTATTTGCAATAACTCTTGTCAATGAATCTTCAAGAAGAGTGGCATGATTTTTGGTGGTGCCCGGATACATTCCCGAAAATGGATGCCATCCTACATGCGATGTTTTCTTTAATCGCAGTACTTTAACCTAGGCCCATTTCCTTTTGAGGTAGCATATCAATATTTTGCTAGAAAGCTTGGTTTCTCTCTTCTGTGTCTGTACAACCAAGATCAACTTGCTCTCTATTCGACCATGTCTTTTGCAGATTTCAGCCATTATCAGTTTCCTCTTTTGTCTGAGCTGTTTGTCAGTACGTTTACTTTGAATTAATCTAGCAAAATTTTCAAGATGTTTTTCTTTTTCATTTTCAATAAAACCATACTCATTGTAAGAGGAACTTATTTCTATTTTCTTTTCTTTTCATTGTTTAGTTTCTGAGTATTGTCCTTCGTCCATTGAAGAAAGGTTTTTGTTCCAAAAATTGTGAAGTCTGTCGACCTTCTTCTGCGAAACACGTTTTTCATCATTTATAGTAAGATTTACCTACTTCAGGCCAATCTTTCACATAAGAAAGTTCTTTCCAGTGTATGGTTAGACTGTTCAGTATTCTCTTTAACCTAGAACTATCAATGTTCACTTTTTGACATCGATTAACATTTGGAGGCCTTCAGCATCCTAAAAAGTCCAGCAGCACATTGTCAACTGCTTTGATTGAACAAATTTAGTTTTAATGACTTGTTGAATGGTTGAATGTTTCTAGAGGTACCAATGATAGAATATGTCTAATTAATAGATGCGCTAACCCATGTAATTTAGAGGACAGGAGAAAGGGCCCAGGATGAAATTACTTCATGCCAAGTTTTTCATTGTCTATGACTGGCTGTTAGGTCTATGACTGGCTGTTAGGTCTATGACTGGCTGTTAGGTCAAGCAACAACCGAACAATTACAGGGTTGATCTTTAGAGACTACTTAAAGGTACTGTGTATGTTGCTGTGTGAGTACTACATGGGTCGATCCTAACAGAGAGCCCCCTGCCTTTAATGTGAATATTGCTGGAAATAAGCAAATATTATGACATAATATGGTACCTTGCAAACAGCAATGTATAATTGGAAAGAAGGTTTTTCTCTTTCCAAGGTTTCCTGGTCCATGTAGCTCTAGGGCTGATAGGTGTATAATCAAAATAAGGCAGCGCCTTTGTACTTATAGCTGGTTTTTTCTTTCAAAAATATACAGGTGATAATTCCGAATTGAACCTTCTATGAATGTCCAACAACGCATCGGAATCTTCCTTGTTGCTCAAAAGATAAGCGAGTTTTTTTCTCTTTCTTACCATGTTGGGATACCTCCCTCATCTCTGGGATTTCCACATGTGCATCATGTCTTTTTTAAAAACCGAACAACCCTGGGTGGCCAGTATGGACATTGGGCTCCCCAGGAAGCAATCATATCTATTAACACTAATATCAAACATTATACATAGCTTGTCATGTAAAATACTTCTACCCAGTTGATTATATCCACTTTAACCGGGGCAAAATATTATATCCACTTTCAGCTTTTGGAAAGGGTGAGAAACGATCAGTTTTTTCCCTTATACACAGAGCATCTGACGGTCGGTATAAAACCCATTTTTCCAAAAAAAGAGGAAAGGTATTCAACTGGTTTTTAATGTAAATAGTAGCTATCTGTTTGGCAATATCTTTAATAAAAATTAGATTCTCTTGCCACATATTTGAGACGGGGCGGGCTATGATCAGGTTTAACGGATACAACAGAGCTTCCAAAGTTAAACCTGATACCTTTTGTCCAAAGCTCATATCATGTCACCACTTTCAAATAACATTTATGCCATATATTTCCCACTGCTAAATCAGAGCTAAAAAGCATAACTGCTCTGACCACGTCCATGACTCCAAGTGACATCATTTCTATCTTGTTGCATCATGTAAACAGTTATCTTTTAGCCTGTTTTCTTGATGTAACCAGATGCATGTTATCAGAATTGGGTTTTTAAAAACAAGTCTTAATAAGGCTCCTCTGTGGAAACGCAACCATGGTTCATGGCCCAACCATAGTTTGCAATGGTCATACCATTGTTGAGCCGTGATCCTGACAAGCCCTGACCATGGTTGACCAGTGAAAGAAGATTTTGGCTGCAATGATTTTAATTTGTTTGTTCGTGGAAAATATGAATCTAAAAAGTTATCCTCAATAGAAATATAAGAAAAAGTAACAGTTTTCTGTATTTGCTATCATTTGCTATTCAATCATGTATGACCAGGTCAAGACCATGGTCCGTGTCTCAAGACAAAATTCAGTCAATAATTATATTGTAAGGGGATTTATGTGCTCAGGTATGTGTTTGCCCTCAAATTGGAAGATTATATTTTCCTTGTTTCACTATGATTTTTTATCCATTTCCTCTGAATTTACATCCGCTGAATTTATTTACTGTCATTTAAATATGAAATGTCAAGGTTTGCAACATCATTTAGGAGATTTTCTTCATTGGAATGAGAAAAATCATGTTGGAAATATGACAGATTCTTATAGGTGATGCCAGCATGTTTGACAATTAAAAATTGAGGGAAATGATCTGTTATTTGCGTCAAAATATTGCCACTTTCAGTATCTGTGATGTTTGAGAAAATATTGTCAATAAGAGAAGAAGAATGTGCAGATACTCTAGATAGATGAATTATGTATGGTAGGAATTGTTTTGAGAAAAGGAAATTAACGTAATTTGTGATAGGTGTACTAGAGTTATAATTCAGAAGGTTGATGTTGAAGTCTCCAAGGATAAAAACATGCTTATTAAATACAGCAGGGTTGGACAGAGTTTCTTGCAGATATTCACTACAGGTATCAAAAGTTGAACCTGGATGACGATAAACACAACTGAACAGAAAGTTTTACCATTTTTATTTTCAACTTCAGCCGACTCAAAATCAATACTGTCCTTACCTAGATCTGGTCTAGGAATCGGAGTAAGTTCTGATTTCACATAAATTGCAACACCACCATTTTGGGTATGTGACTGGGATGGAAAATAATTGTAACCAGGAATTTCCACATTTGTTTTGATGGATTTTCAAAAGAATTCCAAGTTTCAGAAACACCAATAACATCAAAATTTATTTTTAAGTTTGAGAGAGTTGAAACAAGCTCATCAAAATGAAGTGAGAGGCTCCTGATATCGCATGAAATAAGGAAAGATCCTTTACTGTATCCAGTGTAGATAAGTCCTAGGGCGTATGATAAGTAGAGTTGACATTAGAAGGTAAATGTTCATCAATATCGTAATCACCTAAATTAGGCAAGTTGGTAAGACCAGAAGTTATTTCAAAGGATGGAATTGAATCTACAAAAGATGGAAAGTTTAATTCATTCAGGTTAGATAATTCTTCATTGTCCAATGAACCAAAGGGAAACATATCTGCTGTACAATTCAAACAAAACCAAAGCACATTATCAGGCACCTTTTGCAGCTCTTTATACTCAGAATTAGAGATATTATTACATCTTATATGGACCCAGAATTTGCAGTGACTACAAAATAAGTCTTGCCACGAGCAGGTATCTTTTTGTGGCAAATGCCACACGGAGGGGTATCAGTTTCTACCATTGACATGGCTTGGGCCCAAAATAAAACATTGGACCATAACAAAAATAATTGACCACAATGAATGTACTGAGTCAACACAAAAGTTTGTATCAAACACAATATAGGTAGTCATCTTACGACTCCGTGAAGGAAATTTTACTGTCATTGGATATGAAACTCTTGTTGTTCTTGTCAGGAGGTTCTCGAATTATCAATCGGTCCATGACAAAATAGGCTATTTTGCCATCTTCCCTTGCCTTTTTCAAATCATTCTTTTGCTCATCACGTCTGTCGAGTATTTGCTGTGAAAAATATTGGACAAACATCAATCCATCAGGCTTTTTCTTCCTTGCAGCCGCTAAGTTTCTTTCCTTCTGCTTCCAGTTGGACAGCTTGGCAACAACAGCACGTGGACCGAGAGGGCCGCCATCTTGGCCAACTGCGTTAGGCCTACGAGGTTTCCCAATACAATGAGCTCTCTCTATTTCGACATTTTTTTCAACGCCAAAGGTGTCTTTGTTTGTTGACTTGATAAGCTCCTCCGTGTCATCCCAAGTGCGTTCCTCTTTCCTCTTTGCTAGCCCAAGTATCTTGATATTACTACGTCTCGATTGATTCTCTAGGTAGTCAACTTGGTTTGAGATTCCTTCGCATTCTCCGTCAATATGCTCCAGAGCAATGTGTTGCGAATTTACTTTGGCATCAATAGATGTTACCTTGGAATTCAGCTCATCAATGTCCTTCTGAGAAAATTGCAAGCTACATTTCATTTCCTGTATCTCATTGTTCAGGTGACGCTCTTGTAGGCCTGTTCCTGTATTTCCATCAGCTCTTTCACAACTTGCAAAGTTTTCTTCTCCATCGCTAATAACCACTGAACTTGTAATTTTATTAAAACAAACAAACAAATAAATTCTCATTATATATTAAACATTCAACAAACTGTCCCGTGCATTCTTTTGAATGAATTATTTGAATTTGATGAACAAGGCAGCTCTCCTTTTGCCATCTTGCACATGATGAGCTTTACCACAACCAGAACATCCCTTAGTATGTGGGCCCCCTTGTCCCTGATTACTGAGCCTAGCCCTGAACAAAATGTCCTTAAGGTTCTTACATCTCCTAAAAGCAATTATAGGTGGCCCAGGAAACACCTTACTATGCTCCTCCGAATGGCTGAGCATAGATTGGAGTTTCCCTGCCGCTTTCCCCAATCCATTGAGTGCTGGATGGTATGTTTCTACAAATGGAACCCTTTCCCCCCTCCCCTGGTCTTTGGTTTTACTACCCGAATTATCAAGAAGAGTCGCCCTACCTAACTTACATGCCTTATCTATCTGTTCATCAACTAGAGACTCTTTATATCCCCTGTCCTTAAGCAATCAAGCTAACTCGCCTATCTTATCTTCGAAAAAGCGATTTTCAGATTAAATCCTATGATACCTAAGTGCCTGGCGATAGGGGATCGCTTTCTTAGTGTGCCATGGATGACAAGACTTCTTATACTTCGTACTGATGTGTATCAGTGGGCTTGCAAAACCAGTCTGTTGACAGGACTCCCCCCTCACTTAAAATAACCTATACACCTAAGAAACTTATATTATCCCTTGAGTGTTCGCTAGTAAACTTGATGGTATCATGGCTACTGTTGAGATGGTCAATGAGCTCTTTCAACTTCTCTTCCCCATGCATCCAGATAAAGAAAATATAATCGATATATCTTACCCAAATGAGGGGCTTTTCCACCGAAGAGTCCAGCAAGCTTTCCTCCAACCGGGTCATAAAAAGATTAGCAAACTTAGTATCTATAGCCGTGCCTAATTTCTGCCTATATATCTTATCGTTAAATTCAAAGTAATTGTTATCCAAGACCAAAGATGCCAACCCCACTAGGGTATCAGTAGCCACTTCTGGGTTTTCCCTTCTATCCAGCGCCTGCTCTATGCCCTCCAGACCCTCCCCATGGGGGATGCTAGGACAGAGTCCCAAAACATCGACAGTAGACAATGAAGCCCCCTCTGGTATCTTACCTAATTTGCTTAGTTTGGCCAAGAAATGGTTGGTGTCCTAAACATGGGATGTACCCTGGCTAACTAATGGGTTGAGGTGGTGATCTAAATACTCAGATATATGTTCTGTTAAAATATCACAGCTAGAAATGACTGGTCTGCCCTTAGCATTATCAAGACCCTTATGTATCTTAGGCAACAAGTAATCTACCCTACATAAGCTTGGTTCATAGTTCTGAACTCATTAGCGTACGCTAAACTCTGCACAAGGGTAAGCTTTGAAGCGTACACCTTTTCATCTTGCATATGCCAAAAGCGTAAGCGCATACGTTTTCCACATGTCCATGCGGGAAGCTTGAAATGATACGCCATAAGCTTTTTCGGTCCATAGTTTCCGGACATGCCGTCGAGGTTCTACTTGCCCTTCTACTTGCTCGGCAAAGAAAGAAAAGGAACAACAAAACGCGGTTGTATATTCGGCCTTTGAATTCTTTGAGAAACATGCGCGGGGAATACCCGATCCTAGTCAATGATTTGCGTTCGATGGACGAAGAAAGGCATTTTCAATTTTTCAGAATGTCAAAAGAACATTCCGATACCGTAAATCGACAGTAAATCAAATAATTTACAATACATGCGGCGCTATTTGAGATACACGCGAATTCCTAAGCTTTCCTGATAAGTAAAAATGGAAAGAGATCGCAAACGATTTCTGGAAATATTGGAATTATCCTCATTGCCTAGAAGCCATAGATGGAAAGCACATTTCAATAAAGGCATCGGCAAATGCAGGAAGGGACTCTTACAACTACAGAGGGTTCAACTCCATAGTACTTCTAGCTGTAGTTGATGCCACATACTCATTTGTGATGGTAGATATTGGTGCTTACGGCAGGCAAAGCGACGGAGGCGTCCTTGCAAATTCAGTATTTGGAAAGAGACTGAATGCAGGGACATTGGACCTTCCAGCACCCAGTGCGCTGCCAGGTTCAGAACAGATATCCCCATACGTTTTTGTTGGTGATGAAGCATTTCCACTCAAGGAAAATATGATGCGCCCCTATCCAGGTAATAATTTCAAAGATGGTATCCAAAACATTTATATCCTAAAAGGAATGTAGCCTAAAAATTCAAAATTTCCAAAATTAATTTTCAGGCTCAGAATTATCCGATGAAAAGATAGTCTACAACTACAGACATTTACCAGCACGTCAAATTTCTGAGTATGCTTTTGGAATCTTGTCAGCCCGCTGGAGAGTTTTTCTTCGCACAATTGAAGCAAATCCAGAAAATAGTGTGACAATAACGAAAACATGTATTGCATTACACAACTATTTAGCAAAAACAGATTTTCAGAATAGGCCAAAAACCCGATATGTGCCTACAGGGTGACGTTCAGCATTCTGTGCGATTAATGTTTGATAAAGGAAGATCAAGCGAAATTAAAAATGAAAAGATTAACAAATGGCGCATTGAGTTGAGTTGTTAAAATTTTGACATCAAATACTGACCAGGAGGAGATAACATCCCTGCTGATTCACTCGATTATTTTGCAAAGCTGTCAGTGCTGACAATATCTACAAGCTACACGACTCCTTATGCCATCGGGGAGTAACTCAATTCTATCATTTTCTGAAAACAAAGAATTTAGATGTTTCGCTGGATGAAGTTGGTAACATAATATCCGCTTGCGAGATTTGTGCAGAAAATAAACCTCGTTTCTTCAGACTAGGTGAGAAAAAGCTCATCAAAGCCATTCGAAAGATTAAACATTGATTTCAAAGCGCCATTACCTTCAGCCACACCCAACAAATATTTCCTCACGGTTGTAGATGAGTGTTCACGATTTCCTTTTGCAAAAACCATGCTAATATCAGTACAGACACAAGTCATTAAAGGTCTCAGCTCAATTTTCACCATATTTGGTATGTGGCTCGTCTTTTATGTCTAGCGATTTGAAGTCATGGCTACATTAAAAAAACATTCCAACAAGTCGACCTACTCCTTACAATCCATAGCATCAGGCGAATCATTACCATCATGGTTATCTCCTGGAACTTTTTATTTGAAATGACACAGCTGTCAATTAAAGTATAAACCATTGGTCACTGAACACGCCACACTGAAAGGGCCACTCCAGCCCAAAAAATTTTTCTGAGATTTTTGCATAAATTGTTAGTTAGTCGACACTCGGAAGGCTCGGAAGGCTCGCTAGAGGCTCGGAAGAGGCGATTCATGTCGGAATCCCAGTTGTTGTTTTATTTATTTTCCTTCATTGCGATTGAGGTTCAGCGGAGGCTTCCAGCCAACATGGACTAGTAATTCGACAAATCAAAGATAGAAACTTTAACCTGAATGCAAATCCTCATCTTGGCAACGCAGCAAGCTTTTCAAAATCGAATGCCTAACGAGTTTTCAGATGTGAATGAATTTCTGACCGAAGACATTTCTTATCGTCGTCTCATCTCAGGGATTTCCAGGGAGGTGAATAATAATTGATGTCTTACTGCATTAGGAGAAGAACCCCATTCACAAGATGGAAGCTTTCCCGTAAGTCACAATCAATCCTTATCCAGCGAAGGCAGGGGCTGGGGAGGGGGGGCTTTAGCATCCCACTTTTTGCAGAAATACTAAATATTAGATAATAAACTACCAGTAAAGCCTCTTTTTATATGGTTTAGCCTCCCCCCACTTTGTTAGACCCCCACTTTTCTCAATGCTCCATGGTGCCTGTTATCATTTTACCATGGTTTGGAGGGGGTTTGGGGAAGGTGTGACACACACCCCTAAGCAATGCAATTTCCCAGGCTTTGAGAAAAATTTTATCCTCTAAATGTAAGATTTCTAACAGTCAGTCTCGTGAACTGTCCACCAAATGGTTAGAGGTGTCAGGTGTGGTACTAAGAATTGTACAACAGGGGCTCTCAAGCAAAATGTCACATGAAATAGTACTGAAAGTAGAAATTTGCTACTTTTTGTACCAACAAGGGGGCCTGAGCCTCCTAGCACTACATCCTTGCCCAAGGTACAGATGTGTAAACTTTTCGAGGATTTGTCTCCTCAACCCTTAGTTTTCATGTTCTATCATTTTTCGCCTTCAATTTTGGAGTTCTACCTATGTCATCATTAAACTGATGCAAAATTTCATAATTTTGCCAGATCAATATCCAGGGCAAAAGATCTACTACCCCAAAGAGAAAACATGGAATTGACACCCTTGGTTTTGAAAACAGATGTGTCATATCCTCATTCTAATGTTTTAAAGGTAGAATTGTTTATATCAAATACACCTTTGCTATTCTAGCATTGATTCATATAAGCATGGCCAATATCATTTAAATTTATCTTTGTGTTACCTAATTAATATCCTTAGATGCTATTTGCTATAGGAACAGTGGTTGCCCTTTGATCCCCAAATTTATCTTTGGTCCTTTTAAATATCTATACTCTGAATGCCCCTGAGTGTCCAGGGAATGATTTCTTTGATCATTTTATGTGATACTGTGACTCTAAAGGAAATTTCACTGGTAGGTTAGTATTTATCCCTGTCAACATTATTATTCTAGGCATAAAAAAGGTAACAAACTCTTTTATGGATCAACAGAAAGGATCTTGCCAAAAATGCTAGATAATAGATAAAGGTTGGAGATTACATGCATCCTGTTATCTGGCTACTGGCTTTGGAGGAGTGATAACTTGCCCCTTCTTTCCCTACAAGAGTTACCACAAAGACCTCAACACATTATTCTGTTTTTGTATTAACATTTTTACAAAGAAGACTATTTTTAAAATTATCAAAATTTTATGAATAATTTGGTCATTTCTATATAAAGTTTGCAAATCCACAGCTATTATTTGAAACTAGTAACAACATATAGGTATTTTCTATAAATTTTGCAGTAGATTACTGTTTCATGATACTTTTATAAGAACATTTCTCATGTGCAATTTAAATTGCAAATTTGCTAGCTAGTTCACTGGCCTGATTGTATATATATTTATAATATATTATTCAATGTCTCTAAGTATTTAAATACAAACATGTATTTATTATTCATTGATATAGCAGGTTAAAATTCTGACAGCTTAAAGGAGCTGAAAAGGCAAATGTAATAGCTTAAAGATTCAATACAAAAATTATTTTTACACAAGTATAATGAAAAAGATGTAATGTTAATATAATCTCAAATCCCTTTTTTGTCTATATATATAAGAACAAATATATAATTTTTGAAAAAAGTTTTTTGCCTCATGACTAATGGTAGGTTTTTGGTCCTGCCTTGAAAGTTTGTATACTTCCATGTCCATGTCCTTGATTGTCCTGTTTTTCTTCTCAATAATTCATGTTGATATGAAGCTCTTTATCCTGCTGAATCTATTGTATCAATCTGGTATACTGGTTTTGTTTAGGTCTTTCCTCCCGAATAAATTGCGTGATGGCTTTTTTGGCTTTTGCACTGAATGTAGAGCTGATAAAAAAGCGCGAATCTTCTTTCAAAAATCAGAAAACTGGCCTGCCAAAACAGACTGCATCAAAAGCAACGTTCCATTATCCAGTCCTTCAACATCCTTATGTCTCTGTCTCGCTGGCCTACTTTGACAATTTGACTGCTCTGTCAGGCAGATTTGTGCGATATATTACTTCCATATTCGATCTGAATATCAAGACTGACCGACGATACTTGTCTCTTTATATAGATAAAAGTCTGGCCTTCTAAAAAGCATGCCGCTGCTAGGCCCTGTTAGCCATTTCGCTACGTTCTTGTTGACCCTTTGGACAGCCGATAATACTTGCCGGGAACTTACCGAGGCCGACAATGTTTGTGACGTCAATCAGAAGATCTCTGGTAACACGATTGAAAAACAATTCAACTCAATGACCAATTTACAAACGCTAATAACTACAAAACGGCTAGAGATATGAAAAAAATAATAGCAGATTCGTTTTCAGGAGGTCTGATTTCATCGTATTCTGAAATAAAAACTTGGTGCTGGAGTGACCCTTTAAGTGGCATAGCACCAAGAATCAAATTAAGCCCAACCCAAGAATAATGTTTTAGAAATTGATAAATTGATTACTATAAATCAGGGGTGGTCATACCCAATTTGTTTACAGGGCTTTGTGTCAAATGTTTCTTAGTGGCTAGCTGTGTTCCATAATCCTGCTTTCACTGCTGGTTGTCAACATTTTTTGCCTTAAGGCATTATTTTGAAGGCACATTTTTATTTTTGAAACTGGTATCTTGGCTGTTAGGCCTGCAACTTTTCTTTGTGATCTATGGGACTGTCACAGGGGAAGAGATTTGTGGCATTTGGCCACCCCTGATATACATTATTATCAATTGTGTCATAAACCTGTTACAAGCATGGTACCTAACAGGGGCTGATGCAGAAAACATCATGACCAATGCACAAATGTAGTGGGGGTCCGGAAAATTTTTAGGTGACCACGCCCTCTGGTCTTTCGGAAACGCTCAGTCTGAGCATACAGAGACCGATATAGCTTTTATACCGAAAAGATAGTTACATTTTATGCAAAGCTGTCACTGCTCCTTATATCATTAAACAATACTGGCTCTGTGTTTTCAACTTGCAAACAAATAACATGCAAACTGATGTCGGCTAGTCACTGGACGGACTTAAATAATAAACATTTAAAAATTTATAAATAATGGCTAGTTCTTACAACTGACAGATCAAATTATCTTTAGCCAGATCAAATTCTTGACAAATTAAACTAGGCATACTTTTGCGAAGCTTCAACAACTCGTCCACAAAAAGGTCCTTCAAAGCTGCATGGTTTCGCGATTTAATAAATTTTTCAACACTTCTTTGAATATCCATTGCCAAAGCAAGGGGAATCCTTGCAATAAACTCAAATTCGAATTCAATAAAATTTTTGTGTGCTGAATTGTCAGTTTCCTGCAGACCAAACACGTTTTGTTTGTTTTAAAGAGAGACTTATTAGGCACCCAGCAATCACTGGAATCACCTAAGCAAGTTCATACTCAACAGCACATTTTTTAAATATTTGTGCCATAATGCCACTTAATGAAAGAACATACGGAGTTTCGATGCAATTGATATCAATACACATTTCTCGGGCCTCAACAGAAGCATACAGAGCCTTGACCGTGGCACAAGAACAAAAGCACAGCCATTTGGTCTCAAAACATATTGTTTAAAAATGTGCGCGCATACCTCTATTTATATCTAGTGTGGCACGATTGTTACTATCCATATTTGGTAAAGTCAATTATTCTGTGGTTAACAAAAGGCAAACAATAAGCAAATCCAACATGGCGTACTACTAAATTAACAGCAGAGAGGGGGTGTGATAGATAGACGCTGGAGCGAAGGGGAAGTGTTAGACAGCAAGGACCATCTCGGGATATTTAGAACAATCTATAATTTTCCAAAAATTTAAATTTGGAAATCTGACCGTGGCACGTGCCACCTTTGCCACCGTCTGAATCCGCCCCTGCCTAAGTTTTTTTGTTACAATGCTTTTAGATTACAATTTCTAATTGGCATTGGCTGTAGTTTACGAAAGCCTTGTTTGCCACAGGGCCAAACATTGAATGGAGTATCAGCTGAATGTTTGTGCAGAAAGTTTTGTGGCTGCGTTCGTTGCATAATCTACCTGTAACATCCAGCCAGCCTCTTGTGACAGGTATCTACAAGGTATAGCTTTGCAATAGTCACCAAAATCTTACAATTTATTCAAACCTTTTCATGTTATATTTTTAGTAACTTGTTTATGTACAAGAGACTGTGTACCACTTTGTTATCCATTTGTTGAATCTATTTTAAAAATGGTTTTCATTGGGTAACTCACCCTTCTTCAGCACAGATCACATAAAGTTCTCACCCGTAAGTACTGCAGACAGTGCTTTCTTTAAAACTGGTCAGGAGGTGAATATCCAAAAAGTTTTGAAAAAACGATGCAGAAAAAGTCATTGATACATGTAACGATCAAAAGTTAGAGGTTGAAAGGAAAGAGATTTGGAGATCTTTTTTGACTTTTTACAAATGAAGTTAAAGGATACTGACAGATTGCAAAAGAAATTTCTTGTAGAATTAATTGGCAGTGGAGAGCAAGGAATCGATATTGGCGCACTCAAGCTGGAATTCTTTAACTTATGCATGGAAGAAGCAAGGCTTTGCTTGTCGGAAGGTGATCGAAACAAGCTCATTCCAAGAAGAGGTATCGGAAATAAAGGCACCCAGTTTGAGATTGCAGGGGACGAGCATTGGACTCCAGTCACACCTGATGAAATGTGTTTATTTTGGAATTTGCACTTTCATGTCGGTGGTTGACCTTCCTGAAATAAAAATGTACTGGGCAGAAAA